AATAATGAGTGGTTCATGATAAAAGAATTACCCTGTATAATGCTCAGTATATTAGATTTATTATTAATTATAATTGTTAAGTAAATTTACTAATTTTAATATTATGTTTATTTAATACTTAATACTGAAGGTAATTATAAGTATATATCTACACAATAGCATATATATGCTAATTAAATTTAAAAGTTAAAAAATGCTTGATTTTCAATCAAAATTGATAATCAACGAGGAAAATAGATAAATAACCTAAATAATTTAAAGTACTATTCATAATCCAGTGTTTATTATTTTAAAATGTTTGAGAGAATATGTTAGTGTATTTTCATCTATTCAAAAAATGGCCTATAAAATAAAATAATGCTTTGTTCAAAATTTAAAATAAGAGATTATTTAATTGTTATAAAATAAATAATAACTTACTATTGTAATTGTAAAGCCTAATACAAAGGTCACTATGATATTATATTGCATAAAATAAAATATTTTATACAATATTATTAACTGATGTATGTATTCATTGTCGTCATTGCTTAGAAGTACTTAGAAGTTATGTTTTTGTGTAGTAATACTGGTATTTAACTCCATGTTATACACTATTAAATACATCTCTATAGCAATAGTTATCATCAAACTACATATTTCAGTCACATTTATATTTATGACCTTTTTAAGTTAGAGGTGTTGAGCTCAATACAACAATAGACAATAGTATTCATCATATAGATAAATTATGCTATGTATAGTGTTAGATATGTAAATATGGTTTATTTACATGCCCATTTTTTTTTTTTAAATGTTTAGTTACACAAATTAATTTAAATACAACTGTATTGTTGCATTGAAGTTAGATGAAAACATTTTTCTTTATGTTCAAATTAAATAGGTATGTATGTTAATTTTTTTTAATATTTTTTTTTTTTTAAGAATTCTACTGAAGCTCTAAAAAAGTCTGGTTATTCAGGTATTGAAAGCTTGTCTAATTAAATATGAACAGATTAGATAGGCTAAGCCTTAGTTGTGTAGGTAAAAACCACTAAAAACTGTTGTTAGTAATGTTCCTAAGAGATCGTTCTAGTGACAAAATTCTTAATAATATTATATTATTAACTGTTATTTTATACAAATTTAGTTGAAATAATTAATCATTCCCRTCATCGCAATCTACCTATGATTACCTAATTAATTTATAGTTAGTTTTATATTACATAAAATTTAATGACCTATTTATTGAACGTGTTAATAAGTACAATTTAAGAGTTATTAGCCTATGAAATAAACTTTTAATTTACTTGTTTTGTAATTTGACGTTTTAAAGTATAATGTGGTTTATTCTTAATTGTTTAATTTTCAAATAACAACTAATTAGCTACCAGACAATACAGTTTATAAATAATATATACATTTCAAACCTTATACCTAATTATTACCACACACATTCTGAAGAATATATTGCATTTAATTTAAAATTTCCAATATTTTGTTAACTTCATACATAGTTCAGTATCTAAATAGTAAATAATAAGTATTTGTTTTTGAGATTCTGTTTAT